TGGTCTGCTTTTTTTTTTGCTTTCGGCTGAGACGGGTCTGAACTCTTGGAAATCAGATTAAATTAGTTATCGATTTCTTTTGAAGTCCCGTTACATGATCAATCACCCAACTCTAATTTTAATTGAATTTATTTAATTTAAAACAGTGATGAGAGGCAATGGATGAAAAAGAATTCCTGAAGGTTAACCGTTTTACCATATCAACGTGGTTATAATGACAGCATATGCATTTCTTTTGTGACGTCTACTCCATTATGCAAAGAGTAGTACAAGACGAGTTAAAGGAGCTTCGGACAATGGCATTTAAATGGGAGAAGGTTGTTGCCTGAGAACTGGGTTATGTTGTTTTGTAATTGCCGGCCGTTTGATGATAACTATCATGCCACCGTGACTATGTTTACTCTTTTTCTTCTTCTTTTTATTTTCAACCTTTGTTATGGCCGGTGTTAACTCGCAACCTCGCTGGCCGTAATGTGTGAATTGGACATTCACTACATTTGTCAGTAGGCAAATAAAATATTTTTAATTTTAAATTTTCGCCTAGCTTTCGGAACTTTATTGTACCTTCTTCAGGGCTTGATTTTTAGTCAGAAGTATATAAACTTAAATTCGTTTCTTTTCATGTTAACACTGAACCTTTTCACTTTTTCCTTCACCTTTCAATTATGAAATCATTGTTAGTAATACGATTAGTTTTATATATCAGAAACAGTAAAAATAAAAGTACAAAAATAAAAATATATAGTATTTTTATTTTTACTGTCTGTGAAATTGTATAAATCTCGTCTAGTCTTTACAAAGTTGAAAAGGTGAAGGAAAAAGTGAGAAGGTTCAGTATTAATATGAAAATCAAAGAATTTAACTGGCTAAAAATCAAGCCCTGAAGAAAGTACAATAAAGTTCCGAAAGCTAGACGACGATTTAAGATTAAAAATATTTTATTTGACCATATCTCTGACAACAACCAAGAGAACATTAGGCGTATTCACGATCTTTGTGTTAACTGTGTTAGGTCCTGCTAGATCGAGAAAAATGACGACGTAGAATTGTAAGAATTGGCTCGTTAACATTGCTCGATCTAACAAGCGCCAATGTTAGAGGTTAGGTCGAAAATGTAGTCACATTGCTATGGTTAGGGCGTAGGTAACCAACATGGCAGCCATGAATTCAACAGCTGGTTTTTGTTTACACGTATTTTTATTCTTAAATACGCATTAATTAAATCAGACCAATACATTTCTTTTGTTAATTGTTGACCTGTTCTTATATTCTTATTCGTAGATAGATACCATTCTCAAAGCAGAAATGCTTCCCATTCCACGAGCAATGGTCTCAGCTAAAAACCTTAATTAATTGAAAGATATTAATTGGTCAAGCAGACCACGAAAACTAGTGAATTTAATAATAAATCTTTATTTCCAAGGATGTACATTACATATAAATTTAAAACAAAAAATAATATTTTGGTATGTCCCTGCCTGCTGGCAAAAAGCAAGACTAGTACTAGACAGCAGGAGATTTTGGAGATAATTAGAGAAATAAACAAATTATATCTTTACAAAAGCATACTGAAAAACAAACAAATAAACAAACAAATCCAAAATAAAAGTGAAGCAAGAAAAAAAATAAATCTTAGCTTTAAAATATCTTAACTACAATTTAAATTTTTGAAGTGACAGTTGTAGTTTTTGCAATTTTGAATAATGATCCTTTCTTTATAAAAAAAACCGTTTAATATTGCAATTTTGTATTAAAAATCGTGGATGAGGCCTTACGGAAAGGAATTTTTTTTCGTCGTGCTTTTGAGAAGTACATCTTCTCATCAAGATTTGAGAAAAGTTACATATTTAACAAATATAAACAAATATTCAAAATGGTCAAACCTGTGGTTTCAAGTAGTATGAAATTAGAAATGAAATTTATATTGAACAAGATCAAACATTCTTTTACTTACCTATATACGCACCCATTTGACCAAAATGTACCACAATAGTGTCCACTTGTTGTTCCTTGTTTCATTTTTGTTATAAATATTTATTTAGAAATCGTGAGATGCCGTCTGGTGTGATGTAGGTTTCAGGAAAACATTGTCTTTACCGTGCCAACGTTCCGATCTTTATTGAGATCATCTTCAGGGCCTGGTATTTAAAACATTGTTTACATATTACAATTACATTTTGGATGTGGAAAAGTGAATTTATACAATGCAAAATATATTTTATATATTCAATCAAATGTTTTTCTGAAACCTACATCACCCCAGACCGCATCTCACGATTTCTAAATAAATATCGATTAACGGTCACTAATCACCACACGTTATAAATATTTCTTTTTTTAGTGTATTTGACCATTATTAAAAGAATAAAGGAGGTGATTTCTTAAAATAGGTAAATCTCTGAGCGTTCTGATTTATAAGTCATCAGTCACTGTGGGCCTGGTATTTCCGTTTAAGTAGTAAATACAAAAATGACGACACTGATGTTTTCATACGAGTGATGATTATATTTTTATGATTTTCGACATTTATCAAATATGAAAAGATACTTGTATAAATTTTGTTAACAATAATTGTTTTAAATTAATTTTCAAACAAGAAATAAATCAAGCATTTTTCTTAAGATTTGGCAAAAAGAATCACGTAGAAAGTATAGCAGTATCATTTAAAATCATAAAAAAATAAAAGAAATATTTATAAGTACAATAATTTGTTGAAGTAGTGAGGAGCGGTCAAGAATGAGATAGTTTAGAAAAACACATTTTTTATTTTTTGGCCGACGTTTCGACCTTTATTCGGGTCTTCTTCAGGGCATAAAGTGTGGTGCTAGTCTTGTGGTGTCATATTGGTTTTGGTGAAAGTCTTATCTTTCTGAACTACCTCATTCTTGACCGCTCCTCACGATTTCAACAAATCATGAAAACAATGTCACTAAGAAACAAACATTGTTGCCAAATATTGTCAAAAATTGATATTTCATCCCCTCATTTTGTAACTGAATTCCGTTTAAATTATTTAGTTTTTGAAAGATTGCGCAAAAAGAAGTAGATAACAAATTACGGGATAAACATATAAAGCACAATCACTGTGACATTTCTTGCCATTTGTTCACTTGAAATTGGGCATTTTTGGAAAAATTCCGGGGCAGACAAAAAATCATATAAAATCTATATGTATTCCGATCAAAACAATTAACACGTTTCTCACACGCGATTTCGAGTACATCTATCCTTTCCCAGGAGTTTTGAAAATATAATTAATAATTTAAAAAATTAACGAATGTGAACATAAAGTATTATTTACAATATTTTTTTCAATTTACGAGATAAAACATGGTCTGTCCGTTCAATATCACAATATAACCTCCATCCAGTTATATTACACAGTTCAGCCAACACAGTCACCCTGTTAACCTAAATTTTTCATAATAATATAAGCAACAACAGTTGAAATTGTCAATATTTAAAAATTATCATGTAAACAATTCTACGTACGATGTCGATGATCATAACTAACTAACGTAATTGCAATGATTTACTGGAATTTTTGCATATATGGTAGAAAACTTGACCTACGAAGGATAACTGGAATTTTATTGAACTTGAAGCCTTTACAAGGTTCATTATTGTAAATATATGTTCTTATTTGTTAATTTTGTAAATTATTTTAAACGATTTCTATGTCTTGATGATGGGGATATATTCGCAGAAAAATTTGGGAAGGATAATGCTTGTCTTTTCTTTCAAATTGGCCTTATACTTGATTTTGAACTTTTATCCTATCTTTCAATTAATTAAGGTTTTTAGTTGAGATAAAAAGTCAGTGTCACGAGCGGGATTCGAACCCACGATCTTCGCCTAGATACGCTGTTGCTGTACCACTTGAGCTATCGTCACCTCGATCCACTCGGGCATTTAACTTCCCATCTCAACCCCACCTTTTGAATTTTCCCTCCTTTTTTGTCATTTTTATCTCAACTGAAAACCTTAATTTATTGAAAGATATTAATTGGTCAAGCGGACCACGAAAACTAGTGAATTTTATTCTATCCCTGATTAATTAAAATATTTAAGTTAAATACCATTTATATTGGAAAAACACATAAAAGTATCATATTTTTTTTTAAATTTTCAAAAGTTGACAAACATGTCCATATAAATACAGTATTAAAACTTATGGTTTCAAGTATAATGAAATTACAATTGAAATTTGCAGTGAACGAGATCAAACATCATGTAAGCAACAATATTCGTATACCTAAATCAACAAAAAATTACCAACTGATAAACATACAATCACTAATAATTGCTTGTATGTACAGTCAACATGACAGGATATTTAGATTGATCATCAAGAAAACTGGGATTTTTTTATATCTCTGAAACGACCTGGTTTCCTAATGTCAAAAGCTTTTTAAGCATCCATAGTGGGCGTCTGGTTTAGAGGCAGGTTTAAGGTTCAGACAACGCTAATGAGAACCAGCGAGACTAAGCGACCCCAATTGTACTATAAAGCGAGTTTCAGAGCTTGGGAGTCGGTGTAAATGTGAAAACTTTTCAATTCTTTTGCTGATCGGACCTGGGCGAGGCCATCGTTCGCGTTCCCACTGCCGCAAGAGCATATCAAACACAATCTAATTTTTTCCCTATTGTTATAAATCACTTTCTTATAATGTGTAACTTTTTTTTTTTTTAAAGATCTAGGGTTTTAGCTGGCAATTTATAGCTCCTTTCTAAAAATTCTTCTTTTGCCAATCCCTGCTCCACTAAAAGCATCTTATATGCTTCTTCTATTAGGACCGAATTGAAAATAAATGTCGTTTTTAGAAATCCACGAGGATGCAAACTAACCTTCCCATAAATAAGATTTTACAGGCCCTGCCCATCGTTAAACCGGCCGGCTTTAAGTTAAAAAAACAAGATACAAAATCGATCTCCTGCGGAAAATTGGCAAAGTTTCTCCCTCCGGTCAACGCCGTACCTCGGAGGATGGAAGGGATCAGGCTAAGCTCTCCCAGCTCAGTCCTTATCTAGTGACTGTTCCGGCAACATGCCTCCTCTATCATTCTCCGCTACTATTATAATCGTACGTCAAATATATAAACATTTACGTAATTTTAACCATTAATTTATTTAGACTGTATATAAAATCCAATATCATCGATTAACCAAAATAAAAATTAATTTTTACTGTGACATGAAAAATACAACACAGTTTTTTATTAATTTGATATAAAAACATTTTTAAAAATAATTTTATTCTACAGAAAAGTAATATAGACTTAGAAATTCATGCACAGCAGAAGCTCAGCGTACAAACATTTATGTAATTTTAATCATTAATTTATTTAGACTGTATATAAAATCCAATATCGTCCATTGACCAAAAAAAAATTAATTTTTACTGTGACATGAAAAATACAACACAGTTTTTATTAATGTGATATAAAAACATTTTAAAAAATTATTTTTTATACTGAAAAGTAATATAGACTTAAAAATTCATGCCCAGCAGTATCTCAGCTTACAAATATATAAACATTTAGGTAATTTTAATTTTGGTTAATGTGTGATTAACCAAAAGAAAAATTAATTTTTTCTGTGACATGAAAAATACAAGATTTTTTATTAATTTGATATAATTACATTTAAAAAAATAATTTTTTATACAGAAAAGTAATATAGACTTAGAAAATCATGCACAGCAGAATCTCAGCGTACAAATATATAAACATTTACGTAATTTTAATCATTAATTTATTTAGATTGTATATAAAATCCAATATCATCCATTGACCAAAATAAAAATTAATTTGTGCTGTGACATGAAAAATACAACACAGTTTTTATTAATTTGATATAAAAACATTTTTAAAGATAATTTTTTATACAGAAAAGTAATATAGACTTAAAAATTCGTGCACAGCCAACTCTCAGCATACAAATATATAAACATTTACCTAATTTTAACCATTAATTTATTTAGACTGTATATAAAATTTATTATCATCCATTGACCAAAATAAAAATTAATTTTTACTGTGACATGAAAAATACAACACAGCGTTTTATTAATTTGATATAAAAACATTTTTAAATATAATTTTTTTATACAGAAAAGTAATATAGGCTTAGAAAAGCATGCACAGCAGAATCTCAGCGTACAAATATATAAACATTTACGTAATTTTAATCATTAATTTATTTAGACTGTATATAAAATCCAATATCGCCCATTGATCAAAAAAAAATTAATTTTTACTGTGACATGAAAAATACAGCACAGTTTTTATTAATTTGATATCAAAACATTTAAAAAAATAATTTTTTATACTGAAAAGTAATATAGACTTAAAAATTCGTGCACAGCCAACTCTCAGCATACAAATATATAAATTTTTATGTAATTTTAACCATTAATTTATTTAGATTGTATATAAAATCCAATATCATCCATTAACCAAAATAAAAATTAATTTTTACTGTGACATGAAAAATACAACACAGTTTTTTTATTAATTTGATATAATTACATTTAAAAAAATAATTTTTTATACAGAAAAGTAATATAGACTTAGAAATTGACGCACAGTAGACTCTCAGCGTACAAATTATACATTAAAACAATATTTTTTAACATTTATATATAAAGTATATATTTATATGATATATTTCTTCAAAATTTCATATAACCTAGTATTTTCTATCATTTCTGCTTATATAGATATGGTTAGGGATGGTTAGTTTATAATGTATCATATTTTTCTTGATGTAAGATTATATTTAAAAAATAAATAATTCTACGTATATTGTTACCCGCTTAGAAGAGGCGATAACTTCTTAAGTCCTTTATAAACTGACGCGAAATAACTAAAAGGGTTGAAATTGATCTGGGCATTACTACTCAAAAAACTAAAAGGATATACAAAAACGCTGACTATAATAATGTCAATTAAATATTTCCAAAAAAATTATAAATATGTATGAATTTTATGACATATAATTTTTGATTCAAACCATTTGTTTGCGCATCTGTTGGTTCTAGGGCATTATTGCACCTTTTTGACATAGTCTGCATTAAATATAAGGAGAATTTTTTTTATTCTGGGCTATAAAAATACACTTTAAATATAAAAGATTTTAGTGAAAAAATAGATCAAATACACCAGGCATTACACAAAACAATAAATGTATTAAACAGAACAAAAGTACATGATTTTAATAAAGATATAAGACAATACAAATATTCGGTAATGTTATACATAACAAATCAACTAACGCATATGGACTTAACATCTAATTGCACATTATTTATCACAGGAATTGATGAAACCCGGCAAACACACATTTCCTTTTTACAAATTCACTAGTTTTCGTGGTCCGCTTGACCAATTAATATTTTTCAATTAATGGGTCAAGCGGACCACGAAAACTAGTGAATTTAATAATTTGAAAAATGAAAAAGGAGGGAAATTTCAAAAGGTGGGGTTGAGATGGAAAGTTAGTGTCCGAGTGGATTGAAGTCACGATATTTGACGTGGTAGAGTAGCGGCGTATCTAGCCGAAGGTCGTGGGTTCGAATCCCGCTCGTGACCCTTTTAACAAATGTTCATTATTTTGCAAACAATATTGGTTTGAGTCTTTTATGCTTGTATTTACGGTATTTTAAGTCTAATCTATTATAAATAAATAAATTTCTATACGTATAATTAATTTATGCATGAATTATAAAAATTTACATTCAGTAGTCTAACGAAGTCGAAGTGCAACCATCCATTAATTCTTATAGTAAACTACATAAACTACCTGGGTCTTAGAAAATTTGGATTTAAACAGTGTCAAACCTCTCCAATGTGAGAATTTATTAATGTACATGTGTATGGATCATAGATAAGTTTTTTACTTTTTACTGTCCACACATAAACTTATTAAAGACTGGGTAAAGTCTCCTTAAGATGGCCCATGCTTTTGAGCATTTTTTTTTTCTATGTGTTAACTAATTTTAAGACTGGAATCCCAGATACATTCCAATGTGTTTAACTTTCTTAGCCTATGGTATTGGCAACTTATTTAATTTGACATGACTGACAATGTGTGGTTTGCCTTATGTCATGAATAAATATGGTTGAAGTGTAATTTCTGATATTTCTCTTCCAGAATAGTCTATTATTAAGGTTTTTTATGTTTGTAGTATATATGAAAATATTAGGTAAGCTTCGCTATTTTTCTTCAGAATTATCAGTTCATTATGTTAAAAATAAAAAAATAAATCTTTAGTTAATCGACATCGCTTTCCATGGGGCGAGAACTTGGTGAATAGGCCTTTATAAATTGACGACTAAACCGACCAAAACAATTCTACATACTACTACCTTTTTTTAATAAAAATAAACTAAATATATCGATCGCTTAAATATTTTTAAAAAAGAATATAAACATGTATCTCAAGGAAAAATTAAGGTTATAGTGTAATTTTTGCCATTTCGATTAGTTGGGCAATTCTTTTTTTTTAATCTTTGTAGTATATTAGGTAAAAAAATCATATCTTTATTGAATTTATTGGCAGTACGTTATATTAATAATTTAAAAACTTAGCTTATTTATCGTCATCTTACTCGAAAGAGACTGACCCTCTCTACTGACGTAGTAACCAACCAAAAGGCTTGAAGTATATCTATACTGTTACTTTTTTTTCAAAATATCAATAAATAATCATCTCTAATAATAAAAATAATAGATCGATAAAAGACAAAAAATATCCGTTAATTATTTACACTAATAAGACCAAAATAAAAAGTTAAGTCAATACTTCCATAAATTGAAGCCTTTATCAAATGAAAAGGGGTGAAATAGATCTATATAATACTACTTTTTGTATAAGAAAATAGACTAAAAAGATTGGGCAAATATTATGTATACATAACAATAATAATAATGATGATTTTTTAATGAAAAAATTTGTTCCATGTGTATTTTTCGTTATTTATATCTCTTAGTCGGCCGTTGTTTTATTATTTAATTTTTTTAAATATATATTTGTTGTATGATAAAAAAAAAATTGCCTATCATACATTTATTGAATTTCACTACACCAAATACCTCTGAAATTTTCAAAGCCTGGTTTATTTAATTAATCATTTTTTATTTTAAATTTACAATTTTGACTCTTTAGGATTTAATTATTGAAACAGTCAATTATTGCAAGTATTGTGTTTTTATTGTACATTACAAACTTTGAATTTCGGTTAAATTGGATGCGTTGGTTGGTGGGAAGTGCAGATTATTATCTTCGTGGGGATCAACATCGCTGATCACTCCTCAATAAATAAATTATATATTTCTATTTTCTGCTTAAAGGAAAGTATTATTGTGTAATTTTGTTTTTCATTTTACACATTTTGAAATCAATATTTATCTTACAAAAAAGCTAAATAAATTTAGAAAAGATTGTATATAATTAATTATTCTTTTTATGTAAGGTCTTGATTGAGATAAAAAAGTCAGTGTCACGAGCGGGATTCGAACCCACGAACTTTGGCTAAATACGCCGTGGCTCTACCACTTGAGCCATCGTGCTTTCCCCACCTTTCGAATTTTGAGATGGGAAGTTAGGGCCCGAGTGGATCGAAGTCACGATATCTCAATTGGTAGAGTAGCGGCGTATCTAGCCGAACGTCGTGGGTTCGAATCCTGCTCGTTTGGGTTCGACACTGACTTTTTTATCTCAACTAAAAACCTTAATTAATTGCAATTTTTCTTATATGGAATGATCGTGGCCACATCCCCTGTTAAAAAAAGTCAGTGCCACGAGCGAGATTCGAACCCACGACCTTCTCTACCACTTGAGCTATCGTGACTTCGATCCACTCAGACACTAACTCTCCATCTCAACCTACAACCTTTCGAATTTTCCCTCTTTTTTGCCAATTTTCTTTAAAATAAATTCTCAGCTTACTTACTTATACTTCTTTTTCTATCACTTCAGTAACAGCTCACCGTGGCCACTTCATAAGTCACTGCGAATCGAATCCTGATTACACGACATTTGAAAATGGCAAAAATAGGAAAAATTCAAACGGTTGGAAG